ATCCACCTCTAGTGAATCATAATATCTACAAGAGCAAGTAAAGCAACGGATGTAATAGTATAGTCATTTATAGTCACTAATTTTATTAATGCACTACGTTTGGGGAGGTAATGAAACTCTTCCCATTTTAAAGTGACCCACACGTAGACCCCCCCATTTTCAAGAAACACAAACACAGTAATAACTTAGTTTAATAAAACAATCGATGAGTCTATTCACGACTTCTGGACACTCTCTTGCAAGCCTAACAAATATTCACTTATATTAGAACAGAATATAGTAAATATACAAAAATGACGTCACTAATCCGAATTAATAACTGTCACATATAATTAGTTCCAAAACAAACATGTTTTCTTTAGGGCCAGTGACGACTTGTTTATATTCATGGCCCATACTTCCTGTTCTAATATCCGTGGTTTGTAATATTGTTTTTAAGATAGGATATGTTTCTATACGTAATAGGTACGAGCACATCAGACATGTGTAAAAAAACGAAAATTTTTATAAGATCTTACTGCACAAAAAAAAGTTTCATAGCTGCCTGGCTCAATGGGACACACACAAGCACCAACCCACTCTAAAGAATACACGTTCAGAATATTTTGCTTATTCAACTCAGCCATTTGGCAGACAGTCTCGCAAGCCACGACTATTCTTGCGATGAATTGAAATCAACCAAGAGTGCAAAACGAAACCCATCAGGGCGAAAGTTATGAAGTCATCGTGATAGTGTTTTGCCGATCCCACGTTCTTTGCACATTAGCAGTCCGACGACAAAGTGTATCGCTACAATGCTTTCCCTGGGCCTGCGTGAGGCGTGACATACCGACATTTCAGCAACTTTTACTCACGAGTCGAGAGTAATGAAAAGTAATAACTCACCAGAAGACGAATATGCCAATAAAACGGTTATCGCATGGAGGGAGATAATCGATACATGTCGCCTAGGCGACCTGTCATATCGTTTTCTAGTTGGCTATAAAATAGTCCAACTAACACAATGGGGTATGTGTACTCAGTGGTTATACCTGTAGGAGTCTGAACTACCGGGTCAAGAGATTGTTGAGTAGCTAATCACTATTTCCCGCCTTTTTATTGTAGGACGCTAGGTTCTAAACCCAGGATCGTGTTTTACACTTCATGATAGGCTAAGGTATTGAGGCATTAACACCTAGAAGGACCTAGATAAAATCCATTGGTGATTGACGGAATTTGTACCCAGGACCTCAGGGACCCGCGCTCTACCCCTAGACCACCTAGTTCTTCAGCCAATCACCACCAATGATTGGTTGTATTTACGTCCCAGCCTAGGTTATGAGTTGGGCTCCAATACAATATCAATGAAATTGTTGAAAATGTCAATTGCTTTGTGGCTCAGCATGCAATAGAGTTTTATTTTGGATCAAACAAAATTCTATGTCCATCCAAGCTACTAACATAAGTTGAAATTAACCAAGCTGCACGTTGAAAATTATTTTCCTACAGTCACCCGATAAAGTGGGCTTCCTTGCACTGATTATAGAAGCCTACAGAAAGCTGCCAATTGCATCATTAACATACTTTTTCCGCACACCAGTATTCCAACCAAACAACACAAAACAGCGTGCTTTTATTATACACGTAATCTGTGTACGCTTGAAAATAAGTTGGCAACACTTAAAGATATTACGACTACGACCAGCTGGTACAGCGTTTCCCATTTCGTTCAGTGACGTGAAGCTGGCCCGTCCACTCCAGCACACTTTTTTTTTAATGTATACAAAAAAGTGTGCTCTTTATAACGGGTTTAAAAAAAGCGTGCTCTTCTTATAATTATGATATAATCAATTGTATTTGGACCTTGGACGGGCTAGAATCATGGCTGGCCCACCCATTTCAGCTACGGATCTATAAACCATGCCAAAAAAACTGTGCTGAAAGTGTGCTCACAGGAATCATAAATAAAAAAATGTGCCTCTCTCGTTAAAAAAAATCACCCCTAATTGGCAAGGGTAATAAAATGTCGAATTCTGTCCACACAATCATAAGGTTTTTGCAGACCTACTTCCTTCTTTGAACTACTTTTACCTTACTCTGTGTATGCATTATTTGTTGATGAACACCCATTTAATTGATTTAGCACACACTAATTTTGCAAAGGAATTGTAAGCCAATAACTTTGATGATTATAGAAAAGAATAAAAGGTCCCAATGAAAAATGCAAGTCTAATGAATAAAGGGAATATATTTATTTGTAAAGTTGCAACAAATAGTAAAGTTGTTAAACAAACATGATCTTAAAAATGGATACAATACTTCCCTCAGAAGAGTTAAAGCTTAGCATTTTATAATTTTGTCAAAGTCATACGATTGGTAGCGGGCACACTTTTTATTATTAATGGTTCCTGTGAGCACACTTTTAGCATAGTTTTTTGGCATGGTTCATAGATCTGTAGCTGAACTGGGCGGGCTGGATCATTTTATTACCCTTCCCAATTAAGGGTTATTTGTTTAGTAACGGGGGGGGGGCACACTTTTTTTATTCCTGTGAGCACACTTTCAGCACAGTTTTTTGGCATGGTTTATAGACCTGTAGCTGAAATGGGCGTGCCAGTTGTGATTCTGGCCCGCCCAAATACAATTGATTATATCATAATTATTTTGTTCGCATTTAAAAAAAAGTGTGCTGGAATGGGCGGGCCAGCTTCACGTCGCTATTTCGTTCAATCATAGACTAAGGAGAATTCCTCCTTAAGACGAAAAATTACCTTAGGCCCTACATATTTGCTCGGACAACGGGCTCCCAAGATTAAGCAAGCATAGAAAGAAGCAGCGTGTATAACTGCATAACTGCCGAAACTGTAATAAGAACATAGCAAAGAGTAGTAAATAAAAAAAACGAATATACATTAAAACAATAAGTAGTAAACAGGAAATTAATAATGTAACACAATAAAACCGGTCAAAAATAGTAAAAACAAGAACGCATTTAGCTGTTAGTGTATAGTTTAACGACAGTAGGCACAGGCACCTGCAAAGTGCATAGGCCTACTAAAATGCAACCCAAAGTAAAGGGGGCGATGAAATTAAATGGGAATGTCAACAACTTCGAAACAAAATCGGATAAATCAATTAACATCCTAGACTCCCTCGTCGAAGTTTTAAAGAGTAAAAAAAAACTCCTTTATGAACGTTCAGCAATGTAACATCATTACACAGCGTGAAAACGTACCTAACCTAAAAAATGTTTGAAGCTCGACAGAATACAACTACTGAAAGTAATTAAAAGAACAAAAGAAACCCAGTAGAGATAGAAATCTAGAAGAAAAGTAACACTTTCATGTGGCCAGCTGATCTAGTTCAGTTGATTGAGATGCGATGCGTCGCCTTCGCAAGGTCACACGTCCGATACACCACCGTCGCCATCTTGGTCTTGCTTGACCAGATCTAGTTCACTTTTTGCCCGCTCGTATTAGGCAGCACCGTCGCCGCTGTCACCCCACATTCATTGATCAGTTCGCTTTCTTTGTTTCTCTATGTCTTCGTTGGTCTGTGATCGAACCTTCTCTGGTTCCTGTTCTGGTGACACACTGGCATCGCACCGGAAACGCGCGAGAACATTTCTTAAATAAGGAAGCAGTTTCCAGTTTTCTGAGGTTTCATTCATTATTTCTAGGTTACAGTTTGTACCTGTCTGTACTGTATGGGATGATGGAAATTGGTAATCATACTGACACTATTGTTAACAGTTTTCCTTGTTTCATATTTTGATAGTTATATTTTATAACCGGCAAATAATCAGGTATAGATACAACCTTTTGATAGATCATGATCAATTATCAATTATTTAAGATGGGGACGCCACTATGTGCGTATTTTAACCCAAATATGAGTGAAGGATGAGTGTAGGATGAGTGGCGCGATCTTGTAGTCTTGTTAGTGACTAAGGCCGACATGTTCCTTAGACACAGCTGTTAATTAATAGCCCATGCAGCTAATGGGAACTAAGGGACCTACAGTTTATTGTGGAATCCGAACCACATTTTTTCCTCGTAATTAACGAATTGGTCTACTCTAATTATTAGGATAGTACTGCGGATAGTCGTACGTAGTACTCACTAGTGTGGACGTTAAATTCATTGAAAACACATACTAGGTATAATATGTAGCTTTTTGTTTTACAAAACAAAAATTAATTAAATAAATATAAAAAGTAACAGTTTTCATAGTTGCCTACAGGAAGAAGTACTTGGTTTTCTAGCTTGAACAGCTTCCCTTGCACTTAAGATCCTTGATCCTTCTTGTCTCCACCCTTGCCTAGGACTATGACACATACTCAGTCTGGTCAATTTTTTTAGGTATTGGTTGATGTGGTATTTAAAGTGTTTAATATTCCAGATTCCACAATATCAGAGTTGAAACTTTATATGAGTAAAAATATGTAACAATATAAATATACCATAAATTTCATTAATTTCAATCATATAACACATTTCATCTTATCATCTTTACAAGAGCTGACATTTCATTAACCAGAAAAATATGACAAGTTTCAATTAAGAGTTTAAATAAAATGACCTCTAGGTATATAACATATAACACCAATCTACATGTACAATACATACATGTTCTAAAATAATATTCTGATTGCGTAGCTCGGGTATGGAACAAAACTATATGGCAGCTGAAGAAGCAATGACTATATTTACACAAAACTGTCAAAGAGTATTTTAGGATGTGGAGGATAAATATAATTAACAAACACAGATTCACTTTTTAATCTGAAAACTTGGCATGAAGTGAAAATACAACAAAATACAAAAACTGGGCTGGAAAAAAAAGTCTTGACATCAGATATAAAATTGCCATTACCAAAATGTCTTATGGTGAAGTAAAAGTGACAGATATCTACCATATGCTGGTGAACAGATGATGAATATGACCTTGAAGGGAATGACATGCAAGACAGTTTGGCGTGGTTTGGCACTGCAATCAAATCTTAGACTTGGTTTGGCGATTGTGTGTTTTAAATAAATAAACAGCAACTACGTTTTCTTGGAAAGAGTAAGGCTATTGTGATAGCGACAGTGAAAACATTAAAACAGGAGGAAGTAAACTTTTGAGGTATGTAATAATATTGACTGAAATTGAGTAAAAGATGTGGCGCGTGTTCTTTGTATCAGGCTTTGTAATGATTGGTTATCGAAATTACCTTATTTGTTTATCAATTTTAGAATATTTAACTGTCCATTTTAATTCTATAGGAAAAGCAGTATATAAAGTTTACAAAGCAACTTCAATTTCGTTGAGTGGATTTAGAGTTGTATCCAATAAAACAATCCAGAGCAATAATTACAACTAAAATTTTCAAACTTTAACAACTCCTAAGCTTTATAAATTTTGTTTTAGGAAAAATGAAAACATCTGTTGTGTTAGAAACTGCCATACAATCATTATTTCTCACCTCTCATGTTTTCGGAGCACCCAATGTTAGAGATAGCAATACGACATTACATATCCTGGTAAGTCATACTTTTGTAACTAAATGTATACTACTAGTTTAATGCTTAACAATTCACAAACTAGAAATATTAATTGGAAATAGAAAATTATATTATACATATAATATATATAACACGTTCGCTACCGATAGCCACATATTTGCGCCGCTATGGTCATTGCCACGGCCTGAGGTATACATTCTAATATTTTGGTGATTCGGTGGCTCAGTCGGTAGCGTCACTTCGGGCCCAAGACAGCGACGTCGTGGATTCGGATATTGGTCACTGCAGCAAACAGTTTATCAGTACAGTTCACCTTCGTACTGTAGTGGCTCACTCCTTGCTTTGCTGGAAAAGATCCACGCACGGGCAGTTATTCTATGTGAACGGGCAAATGCAAGATTAAAAAGGCCGCAAACCTCTTTAAAAAAATTTTCACATAGACCGGGTTTCACTCGGTTAACAATACACACAACTGCGGGCCAGTGATGAAAGTAAAAAACAGTTTTGCCAACTATCATCATATCCACAGACCAAGTGACGCACATATGCGACAGACATCCTGTAGACCACTGCAGATAATGCAGGGCCTTCAACTAGACCGTTTACAATGGAATAGCTTTTTAATAACATTGGGTCACCCTCACACCGACGCAAATATGCCACGTTAGTCTATTTTCATATGACCAGTCGTCGCATATATGCGACACCAGTTTATGGGTGAAAACCAGCCGTCACATATATGTGTTACTGGTCAATAGGAATGAACAAATTAATACTATTACGGTAGTGAATGTGTTAACAGTCACTTAAATTTTCAAATGAATATATATTTCACAAATAAAATTATGAGAGGTTGATCAAAGTTTCTAAATTCTTCTATGTACAAAATTATGAGAGGTTAATCACAATTTCTAAATCCTTCTATGTACAAAATTAGGAGAGGTCATCAATACTTTTATGCCCTCTACGTACAAAATTAGGAGAGGTCATCAATACTTTTAAGCCCTCTACGTACAAAATTAGGAGAGGTCATCAATACTTTTAAGTCCTCTACGTACAAAATTAGGAGAGGTCATCAATACTTTTAAGCCCTCTACGTACAAAATTAGGAGAGGTCATCAATACTTTTAAGCCCTCTACGTACAAAATTAGGAGAGGTCATCAATACTTTTAAACCCTCTACGTACAAAATTAGGAGAGATCATCAATACTTTTAAGCCCTCTGTGTACAAAATTAGGAGAGGTCATCAATACTTTTATGCCCTCTATGTACAAAATTAGGAGGGATCATCAATACTTTTAAACCCTCTACGTACAAAATTAGGAGAGATCATCAATACTTTTAAGTCCTCTATGTACAAAATTAGGAGGGGTCAGCAATATTTTTAAGCCCTTCTACATACAAAAATATGAGAGGTCATCAATATACTTTTAAGACCTACCATGTAGGAAATTTGAGCCTTAGTTAAAATTGTCGGAAATACAATGGAGTTCATATTTAATTAACAGCAATTCAAAAAAGATTACGGTCTCAATAACTATGAAATTTATAGTTAAAAGGTTGCATGATTGCAGGAAGAGGGAAGTTCATTTGTTTGTAAAACATCCCAGAAGTACTTTAACTTATCAACATTTGACTTTGATCCTCGCAGCGTACTCTTTGATGATACCGCATGCCTCAGTATGCAAATGTTCAAGGAAATGGGATTTGTTAAACATTTTCACATTCCTCCAGAAAACCTTTACAGGTAAAGAGGTAAATAAACTACAACTTTTTAGCATGGTTACATTTGTTTAGCAATAAAATGAATAAGATTAAATCAATCCAATATGACACAAATTTTTCAACTTCAAAAGTTCACCCAACACACTCTTTCCTCCCTTGCTTACGTTTTGAACAATATAGGCTGAATCGTTAGCGTAATGGGGATAAAACAGGAGTTTCGGCTCTGACCATTGATCTTCTTTTTTATGCCACTTTACTGATAAAAACTGCCCCGTTTGATCAAATTATTCTAGCACACTATTGTAGCAAGGTTTTAAGATCCATTTAAAAATTATAGATATTAAAGAAATCAAACAGAAAAATTAATACGGGATAAAACAAAGTTTTCATTACAGTAAAGCGGAGTAAAACGGGGCTTTTGTTTTGGTCAGAGGGAGACACTGGTCATTGTAGTGTTGTTGACTGATAGATCTGAAGCATTGTCTCAAACGAACTAAGAGGAGTAGCATGGATGAGGAGAACATAAAAGTTGAAATTTCAGATAACAAACATTTAGTACATTATTACACAAATAAAATAATTCATAATTTTGTAGTTTGTTAATTTGTAATTTTCAGGTTCATCCTAAGAGCACAGGAAGGTTATAGAAATATTCCCTACCACAATTGGGACCATGGATTTGCAGTGCTCCATTTTACATATGCAGTCTTAAAAAGCTGCAATCATACTCAAAATAATTGTTTTACGTAAGTTAAATTGGTATTAACTACAGTAGGTAGTGTAAGGGTTTTTGAGGATGGAGATATTTACTCTCAGATGATAAAATATAGGGTGCACTTCATCACAGCTTCAGCTGTAAGGCCCCTATTACACGAGGTAGCCTGGCGACGTCGCCAGCGGCAGTAGCTGGCGACGCACTGGCCACCAAACCTATAACCAGTTGAGTAGCCAGTTGAGTAGCCAGAATTTTACCGCCGTGGCGCCGTTGTTGTGAGTGCTTGTCTTGCACTTGTACTTGTTATGAGCGGTGTTTACAGTGAATAATGAGTGATTATAAGTATCTTCTCCTTCTGTTACTTCTGAAGAAAAGGAGGCAAAGGAAGAGAAAAATGTACGTTCATCCAATGCTTGGTGCAAGAGAATCAAAAGGGTTATATTACACCCTTTTTGATGAGCTCTGTGCGGACAATAAAAAATGTTTCAATTATTTTCGTATGTCACAATCCAGTTTCTTCGAGTCATAAAGGATGATATAGACATTTTATCAACTGAAGTGAACAATTCACACACTCACAACACAACAGAACGCAACACAACAGTGTGCAAGTACCTCCGTGATATGAACTAACCGAGTGGCGACGTGATACTGGCGACCTAGTGTAATAAGCTCCATATGCTACAACGCAGCGTCGCCAATATGGGTAGCCAGTGGCTACCACAGTGGCGACGGGGCTCGGTAGCCAGTCGGTCGCCAAAGTGTGGCTGCGACGCTGGCTACCCTCGTGTAATAACATCCATAAGAATCAATGCCCCATGACAAGCTGAGTAGCCAGTTTGGTCGCTGGCGACGTCGCCAGGCTACCTCGTGTAATAGGGGCCTAATAGTAGACAGCATAGAAATGGTCCTATTTGGTGGCCTATTATGTGATTTTTAGGACATTATAGAATTTAATAACTGTTGTAAATTGAGGAAAAATTTGAATTTGACTATTTTTGTACTGTTCAGAGATACAATCAAGTTTATTAAAGGCTAGATTATTTTATTTAATGAGGCATTTTACAGACAAGTTGGTTGTAATTGTGTCTGTATTTCTATCAATCTAGGTTGCTGGAAGGACTGGCACTGCTTACTGCAGCTATGTGTCATGATCTAGACCACCCTGGGACCACCAGCCAATACCAGGAGGCCATCAACAGTGATATAGCACAGAAGTACCGAGGGCTGGGCAGTATCTTGGAGGTAAACGACTAATGTGTAATGGATCAATTTAGTTTAGGTCGAAGGCCATGTACACACGAAAACATTGTATTGCACACTAGGGCGGGTCAGAAGATCCGTTGAGTAAACGTAGCAGTATCTCATTACACGACCCATGCTTCCTGATGATGAGAGAGATTCACTTCTCTACTCACCAGCAATGAAGTAAGATGCAGGTCTACTTTTATAAATGAGCCCGGTAGAGGTTTTAGGTTTGTTGGGGTGTAAGGAAGATAAAAATTCCCCCACAATGTAGGTAGAGAGGTGCGCAATCATCTCTCGGCCCATAGTGTATCACATGTAAACCACGGGCCTGGATGTAGGGTATAAACATATTGTATGATTTCTTTAGCCATCCATCCAAAATAATCTAAGTTGTGAAAACTTTCAGCCAAATAAAATCTAAGATAATCCTTCTTTTCAAAGAAAATTCCAAGTTGCCAAGCCGTTTAAGGCTGAGCAGCCCAAGGTAAAGCCATTAAATGTTAAATGTTACCATAGATGATTTATAGTAGTTTAGAATTACATTGTCGATCATAGCTTTGTTAACTACCCACAAAGGCCAAAGACATTTACCAGTTTTGATTTAGTTTCTTAGAAAAATTATACTTTTAACACAAATAGAAAAACTAGTACGGTAAGCAAATAAGGAAATTCAAATTGTATTTCAATATTTTGAAATGTTAATTTTTTATTTTTATTTTATAAATGTGTACCATATTTATAATTCTTTGTGTATATCTTTTTACGTTTTTAATGTGGCACTTTTTAAAATTTTTGTAAGGGAGTGGTTCGATCCAATACCATTATTATCAGACGAAATTAATCATTGATCTTAATTCTTTCAGAGACATCATATTGAAAAAACGTTGAGCATCTTTGAACATCCAGGGACCAACTTTATTGCACAACTATCCGAGACTGAACATAAAGAATTCATAGATCTCGTTAGACGAATTATCCTCGGTAAGGTCTGTGTTCGGCTTGAAAAACCTTACATCATTATACTGTATAATATTTTATATACAACAAAGACACAATTCATGTTGACTATGGTGTCTGGGGTAGTTACTCCTAGTGTTGCAGTAATTCTCTCTGCTTTATTCCAGAATTAACAGGAGGATAAAAAAAAAATAGGCGAGTGAGCCCCATAACAATTTACCAAAAGATTGTACTTTGAGGGAACATTTTTTTTTTCATATACAACTTTTGGACAAACAATATTGTAATATTTCTTTTTTAAATTCTCCTAAAATTTATTTATTTTAGGGTTGTTTTTTTACAATGCAAACTAGCATTTCTATCAATTTTTAAATAAGAGACTTCTTTTAAACACTTATTTCTATTTCCAGTCACTTACATGGATTGCACATGTTTATAGCAATATTTATGTTTAAAGAAGGTTCTCTTCAGAAGCATTCATTACAAATTCATTTGACTAATTTAAATATCTGTCACCCAGCTGTGTGATGTAAGGGAGTTCCTCTATAAGAATTCTGTACCATCTGAATAACAGTAAGCGTTTTTTATGAATTTAGTTCTTGAATTTCTCAGTCAAAAAATTAATTTGTTATTTTGTATACAAATGTTAAAGTTTGCTTTCTACTACAGCAACAGACCTAAAGAAACATTTCCAAGTTTTATTGGAAGAGCAGACAATGGCGAGTGAAGGTTATAACAGAACTAACGCAAGACATAGAGAATTGTTACGATCAGTCGTCATCAGCTCGGCGGATCTGAGTGATCTGACAAAGGGACGGAGAACTGTGAGAAAATCTGCTGTAAGTTCTCAACGATCTATCTAAAAGTATCTCTTCTCTTGGGTTAAGTAGATGATATTTAACAAAAACGCTATTCTATATAGAGAATGAGGCAATTTTTTTTAAATGCATTCTAAAAAAAATAAAAATAAAAACAATTTTGAAAATTTAAGAAGTTGTTTGATGAGCATTTTTGTTAATAGGGTAATTTATTTACGACCTGATGATTTTTCCACCCCTCCTAAGACCTACAGTATAGATACTACTAGATATAAAGTTAGACTTACCTAACAAAGGGAAAATTACAATAACTTGTAATTCGAATTAAGCTTAAGAAAAAGCTTTTTAAAACAAAAAATCTATGTTTGCAGAAACTAGTCAACATGGAGTTTTTTGACCAAGGAGATAAAGAAAAGGCGATGGGACTATTGCCTCTAAAAATGATGGATAGAACACACACCAACATAGCAGAAGAACAGGCTAAATTCATCTCCAAAGTGGTCATGCCTGTTTATCGGTAAGGTTTGAAATTTTTACTAAATATGATAAAAACTGTTATTGCCTAGAATTTATCAGGTAAACTTTATCGTTTCTATTTTGTATCATTCTGAATCCAAAAATAGCCATTTCTTTTATCAGCTGAGATCTTCAAAAATCATCAAACTCTACTAACCATACAAATAAGATCAACAGACTTTGTCTGTACCAAAATTTACATTTCTGTACGAAACAAAATGTTCTACTTTAAACAATTGAAGTTGTGGTTTTGCTCAGTAAGATCTTTTCTACAACCCGCTTAACCTTGTATGTAAAACACTGTCTTGGTCCAAAATTGGTCAATTTCATGACTAGCATAAGTATGCAGTAACTGAAAAATTAGATTGAGAAAAAACAGACAAATATTACTTTTACGATAACCACCATTTTAAAACTATTTTTTTTTTTAACTATGAAGTAGGAACATTTTCCTTGGAAGCAAGATAAACAAATAGATGAACAGGCAACTTTTTCTCTTCTGACATTAGCATTACAATAAATTAAAAATGTGATTCAAGTTACACTACAATGGAATGATGAATACAATGTAGGCCTATTGTATATTAAACTACAATTTATCATAAATATTTTCTGATTTCCAGGGTACTTGCAGCATTGTGTCCTGAAGTCCAAGGTTGTATAAATAAATTGGAAAACAATTTACAGTTTTGGCAAAATGCTATGTCCTACTTTGAAGAGCAATCAAACAGAAACCGAAGCCAGTTAGAAATACTCGAAGATGTTGAACTTGATAAAATCTCTCTCTTCAGAAAGAATAAAGATTAAGAACCCAGTGATTATGGTTACTAGAATTTGAGGCACCAAAACTAAGGGAACTCAAGTTTCTTGTCTCCATCCACCATCCCCCACCCTCAAACAAAAAGTAAAATAGTGAGCAGTATCAGTATTTTTTTTGCATTAACAATTATGATAATCTTTTAGTGAGTAGGTGAATTGGCCATGGTGTGTAGGAGTCAGAAGTCATAATCTCGTTTTCGGCACGTAAAACGGCACACAAAAACGTCTGTATACAAGGGTTTTTAGAACACTGTTCATTGAAAACTTTTAGTCAGATATACAATCATAATTTTTCTTCAGAAGGTTTTTAGCAACTTTAACTGCTCGTTCTGCCTGTCCATTGTTTGTGGAAACATCGGGCTGGAAGTAATCAGTTCAAAGTGGTATTCCTTAGCAAACTCCCTGATCTCTCTCAAATTGAATGGGCTGTTAACAGACCTTAGAACAGAAGGCAAGCCATGTCTAGCAAAAATGCTTTTCAAGGTCTTGATTAATGAAGGGGCATTTTTTTGTTCACTTGAACCAATTCTATGTTTGTACTTGGAAAAATAGTCTTGAATGACTGGATAGGTTTTTCTTTCATGCTGAAGCAGATCAGCTCCCAATACTTGCCACAGTCGATCAGGTAAAGGTTAAGGAATGAGAGGCTCATAAGGAATATGTGAATTTTCAATGCAAATAAGGCATCCCCCCACCTTTTGTTTGAAATCATTAGTTATTCCCGGCCACCAGATGGCATCACGAGTTCTTGTAATACACCTGTTAACACCTTGATGTTCAGTGTGAATACTGTTCAGAACATCTGCTTTGATTTTACTAGGCACAAATAATCTACTGCCATGGAGAATTAAGTTGTTATAAAGCACCAAATCACCTCTTTCGTTAAAAAATGCAGTTTTCTTCAATTTCGTCCAATCACCAGATTGAATCGCATCTTTCAATACACCACACAAGTTATCCTCAGCTTGGGCTCTCTTTATTGTTGCCAATCGCCTGTCAGTGACGGGAATGGATGACATTACTTGACAAACGTGAATTTCCATTTCGTTTAAGATATCTCCAGTGTTGTCTTCATACCTCAGAGCCGACGGGCTCCTTTATAAAATATCAGGAATAAAGAAGTCTTTGCCTTTTTCGTGATGGATATCAAAGCTGAAAGGTAGCAACACCAAGAATTTGGACAATCGGTAAGTGATCGGTAATGAAATCAAAAGATTTTAACACTAACACAAATTGAAAAAGACGTTCGCAAGCCCATGTTAATGCCAGAGCCTCATTTTCTATTTGATCGTATCTCAAGAACCCAAACAGACAAATAAATCTCTGTTCAACTTCACTGAGACTTGAAATGAATTTAACTGGCCGACAAATTCCATTGTGCCGCTTTTCCAATACTCCACCGATCCCAAAGCCTGATGAATCTGCACAAATCCTCGTAGGCTGCTCTGGGTCAAACGTAACAAGCGACACACCTTCAGTAACTATCCTTGATATACTCAAATTGCCTCGATTTTATATATATATATAAATTTGAGCGCATTGTGTTTTTGGCTTCTATGGACCTCAAAACTAAATCCATCCCAGGTCCAGGTCTTACCATGAGTTTAGTTTTTTTTTTTTTTTTTTTGTTAGCTTATTCGCTATATGGGAAATTTGCTAAAACAGTATTCAAGTTGCAAAGTTGTGTTTACTTTTAGCTTTTAATATTACTGTGGTAAAAATTGGATTAAATTCACCATTTAGAAAAAATATTAAAAATTAAATTCAGTTCAGGACTTAAATTTACAAATTAAATTCCAACAGAAAATCTACTGTATAAGTAAACAGTAGTACAAATGGTATAGGTACCTTGTCTTTTTCTGCCTTCATAGCTTTTCAAAATTTGCTTTAGTATTTTATTAGTTGTCAAGCATTATAAGGCTAATGGTAGGTAAACAAATACAACAAAACACTATTTTACCTTAAATTAAATTTATTAAATTTATTTCTCTCCACCACACAACACAATATGAGCTCTGGAAGACAGTTCAGTGCTTAGTTAATAATTCTGTAATCTAAATGAACAAATAAGTAGTATACTACTTAACAGGAAACCTAACTGTTAACAGCATTCTTTTTAAGAATAGGATAGAACTTTTACAATATGTAACACCGGTTGTAACAACAATGAGAACCAACGTGGTTCATTTTGAAAATCGCAACCTTCAATGGATTTTTAAAAACTAAGATATTATTTTAAGGAACTTATTTTTTAAAGCTAGTTTTCATGAGATTGTACATTAGACAAAGAACGGGGTACAATTGATGAGGAGTTTGGAGCACAAGATTAGTTAGAATATAGAAACTGATTTTCACTTTATAACAATTTATATTTATTAAAGAGCCACAAATTTGCTTAAGCTTAACTATTTTGATCATGACTAGGTAGTTATTACCAACACGCCAACAATGTTGAACTATTGAGTTCCGTTAGTTATATTTTATGGAGATATGAGTTCAGCTAATATATTTATTGAGTGCCAAGTGTTCTCGACTGTATCTCTGTATCTAAATCAATTAATATTTTGATTTAAAACTTGGTAAATTGTTTAAAGACTGAAAAATATGAGTAGGCAAGTACTATTTTGATTGATTGCACAATATTTGGACGTCAACATAGTCTATAATGGCTGTTGCATGCTTCTCACAACATAATAGTTTATTAACACAAATTTACAATAGCATCTATGTTCTACATAGCTACCTACTATAATAATACAACACAAACTTGTTTACTACTATACACCCTAAATGGTCTAGACGAAAAATACAGCAACGAACATCTAGTTGGAAAACAATTATAAAAGAAACAAAATAATAAAGCAAATTTATCATTCATAGATTTTATCTGCTATGTCTGAGGACTTTAAATAGTTGTAAAATAATTTCCTCAAATGGATCTAATCAGTGGCGTAGCCAGGTTTTTAGTGCCTTGGAGCAGAAGTAGCCCCTTGATTAAACCGCCCTCCCAAACAACAAAAATCACATTTCATATATTAATTTTCCTATTAAAGGTCCTTGCAGAAGTTTTGTTAGTAAGCACTTAAACACGACGTAGGCCTAACTATTTGTTCAATTCACAAAAAATTACAAGTTGAATATTAGTGCAATTAGTTAAATATACTTCGGTACTCCATGGTACCATCTTCAGACTAACTCTAAGGATACTAAGATATTAAGTGCCAAAATATATCGCATCTTTGCATACTTTTTAGTTTATTGTGTAATAATAGAATACTTCGTTACTAGGGCCTAAAAAGATTACTCCTATCTACACAGATTATGTACGAACAGATGTTACTGTCATTTAGTTGCAATAAGTATTACTCCGCCTACACAATAATAAATTCATTTTTTATCACTTGAAATCTTTTACATTTCAATGTGTCTTAGTGTCAATAAAGGGGTTTGTGTATAGTAAAGTATAACACGATGATAAACACACAGATTTTAATAATAATACGATAGTATATTTGTATTCAGGCCTACTTAGTTGCCATTAGCTGTATGGGCTATTAATTAACAGCTGTGTCTAAGGAACATGTCAGCCTTAGTCACTAACAAGACTACAAGATCGCGCCAGTCATCCAACACTCATCCTTCACTCATATTTGGGTTAAAATACGCACATAGTGGCGTCCCCATCTTAAATAATTGATATTGATACTTTTTTTTTCGGCGAAACCAGCGGACAACTTCAATAGCCATAAAAATGTACAGCTGATATTCTCGACTTAATGTGACCCTTTAATGCCCAAAAGTTGTATTTTCCGATGAGTTCCGCCCCTCCCCCCTGGAGTGACTGCTCCACGTTCGCTACGCCACTGAATCCAATGGTTTTTGCTTCTATTTTTTCAAAAGGTCAGTAGTGAAAGTATCAAATGTGTTGTAGGGTTTTATTTAAAAGTTATCCTAGAACACCTTACCAACAAGTTAAATATGAATATTCATTGACAGTCACAATCATGGTTACAGTAAAATGCAAAGATGTTAACGGATATTTCAGCCTTTAATGGGGTAGGGAATTAAAGTTTGTATCAATGGAACTCTAAGAGAAGGCAACAAATAGTTTTTTTTCTTTTTTTTTTCAAACCAACATAATTTTGGATAGTCACGTATAAATTCAAATTCTTTGATTTTTCACAAGCACGCAATCAGATGAAAATTGTTTGATGTACTAAAAAAAACATACAACCTCTTTGTAAAACCAAAATAAAATATTAAAAATAGTCTTCAACATGATAAAAACCACTAAAGATTCTATCAACTTAAAAACATTCAATTTATATAAACACTACTCATAAATACCTTATTAATCTAAAAATAAACAAAAATCTACAAAAAGGCATCAGAGATACTGGCAAAATATTACAATAGCTACAACACTTTAACGACCCTCTACAGTACACAGCTAGGCTTACTAATCTAGATAACTTTAGGCGTTGATATCTTGGTTCACTCTAGATATGACACACTGAACAGACTAGCTCTAGAATATGGCACAAATAACATGTAACAATATACTAACATTCATACCAGGGGCTACTGCATCAAGATGAAATTGTGATATGTGATCAATAGGCCTGTGGTAATGGAAATTTAAGTATGAACTGTTAAGCGTAAAAACATATCACACACCAATGGTTTCATTTTGATTTAAAAATGGGTTGGTAAATATAAACTATTTATCGGCAAACGGTTGACCATGTAAACATTTTGGTACTTTTTAACAACACTACAGGAAATGTTGCTCAGCAGTGTATGTCGTAAGATTTTACAACTAACAGCTATTGTTGTTACTGTGTTAGGCTACTAAATACTACCATGGAATAAATAACTAGACCAGAAGTCTCACTGAGTTGGTAAAAACGCTGGGTCTGAATTTGCTAGTGTCTACACCAGAATCTTTAGTAGTTCTGATGTTGCTGTGATTTTTAATAGCTATTTACATTACAAGTGTAGTAAGAGCGTTTTTACATCACGCAGGTAAATGTTGTGCGGGGTGCACAACATTCACCTGCGTGGTGTAAACAAGCTCTTGCGTAACGTGTAACGT